AGAATAAAAGGGTTATCGTACTCCACGAGCACATGCAGGCAGAAATGAAAAGCAATTAGGATTAACGCACCCTCCACACCACACCACGAGGATGCCACACACACACACACACACAGAGAGATTGCGAGGAGGCATGTTACTTGGCCACGATGCTCATGACACAGCCGTCACTGCAAACAACGTCAGCAGAAGCACCGGTGCGTGCTCCCACACAGGACTGACGCTGTTGTCCGTTTTCTTCGTGTCTTTCACGTTCTCAGCAGCAGCAGTGGTGGCAGGCTTGTTGTCTGTCACATCACTGACACCACCAACAGTAGTCGAAGATAATCCTGATGCTCCCTGCATTGCGGCTGCTTCAGTACCGTTTTCACCAGCAGTCGTCGCGATGTCACCTGCTGAGAAATGATTCACAGTAGCTGCACCATCAGTGCTTTCTGTACCAGCTACTTTATGTGAATGATTGCTTTTCACCGTCTGGATGTGGTCTTCTACAGTTTGAGGTGGGGTACCGCCCTCTGCCTGCTCACTGCTCACCGAAGTTGTTTTTCCGTTGTCCTTGACCTTTACGCCATTCTCTTTGTTGACCTTCGTGTCAGTGCCCCCCTTATGTTCAGTTTCAACCTTACCATGTGAAGGAGGGCCGGCCACTGGTGTCCCCTGCGCACCGCTGACGAGGTCAGTGTCATCCGGTTTCTCAGAGCGGTTCTTGGTCGTAACTACAGTACTGTTGTCCTTGTCTGTCCCCTCTTCCCGGGAGCCCTCCTTACCGCTGGTGCTCTGCAGTTCTTTGCTCTGAGGCGTCTTTGCCAAGGGGAGAGGTGGGGAGGAGCCGAGGTCGACATCAGTGCCTGGTGCTCCGTTGGGCTTTGGGGGAGTACGTTGACCGTTATCAACATGCTCTGCAGCGTGTCTCCCATCCCCTTCCTCACCTTTCTTTGTTTTGTCTTTGAGTGGCTTCTCGCTCCCTTTTCCTTTATTTCTTCGCTCCTGAGTACTCAGAGTTCCCCCCTCCACTTCCAGAGACTCTTCCTCTTCCTCTTCCCCTTCTTCATCTTCTTCCTCATCCTCAGAATCCATCCCCTCGTTATCATCCTCACCATCAGGCTCCACATCCTCCTCCTCTTCTACAAGATCATCCCCGGTATCCAACGATCCACCATCAGAAATATGGCCTGGCTTCTCCACTATAGATCGCGTGTGTCCATTGCCATGAACGGGAATTACTGTATCCGCCAACTGCCGCACAGCAGTTTCACGCTCCGCAACCACACCAACATCTGATTCAGCCACCGCAACGCGTCCAACATTATCCCGCAGCTTCAGTAGTGTTTGGTCATCGACCGCCGCACACCCGCAGGCGCACCACGCACACAGCGCACACACCAGCAGCACGCAGCGCATCGTCATCATCGTATTCTTGATCTGCGCAATGAGTGGGGGCAGGCAGAAGA